AGGAAGAACTTGGATGCTGCTCTGATAGGACATCATCAGGTGAGATGCCGACTGATCGAGGTCTGTTTATCACAAAAGTCAGATAGACAGTCGAACATGAATTAGGCGGCGGGCCCTGCATTAAGTGGTCACCCTTTATTATGTGGTCCCGAAAATTTCATTAATGCAAATGCTGTTGAAGTGACCTTTATTTGACAGCCACATTTCCACCAAAATCCGGCCATGGATTGACTGAATGATCAACTATATATTTGTGTAACTAACCAACAGGAAATACTGACCAACTTTATGGCCATCACAGACCTGTCAACTCTCCTGGTGCCGCTGGGAGACTCACGGTTTTGACCTTTTTCTCCCGGTCTCCTGGTATCAAGATATTTTCTCCCGGTTGCTTGTTTTAATTGTTATGAGTTAATGGAATATTTTCCAGATTCAAATATCTGGCAAGAAATAGTAATCGTGTGAAAATCACTTGTGTCCAAGCTGAGACTTACTCCATGAACTACAAGTGTTCGGCTTTTTTATCCACCTTCGCACTATACGCGATAAGTAGATTATTGTAAGGATATGAAATGTAACGTGGGATCTCGAAAACTAGTTGCATTCTTGCCATGTTAGCATTAAATTAAATTAAACAAGTTGTTGAAGCGAATGCAATTATAATGATTATAAAGCCTGGGAAATGATTAGAATTTTTTACTGTTTTGAACACTGCAACACTAATTTTGCTCTCCCGGTTTTTGATAAAATCTCACAGTTTTTTAAGAGCTAAAAAGCAAAATCTCCCTGTTTTAAAATTTTAAGGTTGACAGGTCTGCCATCAACAATCAGTGACATTAAAAGGTGGCACATTTAGATCATACGGATTGTTTTTGTAAATGATTGCATGAATTAACATGTAAATGGCAAAGAGAACTGGAGAGAGAATGGTAGAGTTATTGGAACACAATAAAACACAAACCCACTTCAGAAAAAATTATCAATTAAAGTCTCACAACATTGAACTGCAGGGAAGGGGGTTATGTTACCATTTCTGATCTGTCACAAATTTCGTCACTGTTTCTAGCTAGCTACCAACAAACTCATGCCCATAAAGTAAGCGTCCAACAAACAACACAGTCTCAACAACAGAATCCCAACAACAAATCAAATCACTAAACATAATGCAATTCAACATATCTGGTTTAATACAACACAACCCATTCAATAATTATCACACGAGTATCAAATTTCGAACAGTGGTTTCTAAATGCAAAGCCACACTATAGCAGTATTAACAAGCTTTCATTGCTATGGATGCAACTACCCGAAAATATAAGGAGCACAATGCAGCCTAATAGGTTAACATAACAATATCTATTTTGGAACCCCCTACTGATAATAAAAATATTTGACATTCAATCCTTCCAGCTTAAAGTTGACACAAGTATGTCCAAATTCAGAGAGTACTACCATATAAATTTCTACAATGTATTATAATTTCTTAACAAGATTTCTACTAAGTAACGTTTTACCACAAACTACGGGCAAATATTACATAGAACCTCTCCCAAAAGCACCTAATTATAATGGTCAACATAAGTCTGTTTTTACATTCTAGAATACCATACATGTCTAGCAAGCTTTTTTGGCATGCATGAACATTTTTCTTAGACTCGTACAAATGAAACAATTGCAACTATTTTAATACATTTCCTTTAAATATTATAATATATAAACTATACTATATAATTACTAAGAATTATTTCCGAACCAAAACAATAGCTTGAGATTAAATACTGTATATTATACCTCCGTCAAACGCAAAGCCGTGAACTAAAGGAATCGTTCTTTCAAAAATTTCCCACGGGAAGAAATACAATTAGAACAAATTAGAACATTAGAAATGTAGCAGTGGTGAAGTTTTATATTTCCTGTAAGTTTCGAACACTTTCTGTATGTGAAATATGAAGCTTTATTGCTTCTATAAACTTTACGTGAACTTACGTCGTTCTTGACCGGGCAAAAACATCTTCAGAAAGTTCGCCATCGACTTGGTCCTCTTCCTAAATTTTTACAGTAAAAATGCTAGGATATTTTCGACAATTGACCAGACAATGCGCCTGGTTCTATGATTTCTAAAACAAGCAACTTCAAATTGTCATGAATGTCAATAAACTCACCGATTCGGCTGCTAGTTCACCGCTTATTTGACTTAAATTGTCAGACGAACTACTCCTTTCTATCGTCACCAGAGACATTTTGAAGCTAGTATACAAGCCACTCAGTATAAAAATCCATCAAAATCGCTTCTAGCACGTCGAAAGAGTATTAAAAACTTTGCAAATATAAAGGCCGTACACTCTGTAAACATGAACACCGACAAACGGCTCAATTTCTTATCCGACGCCAAATATATTCAGCGGTTGCCTTTGTTAACATCCACGGAAGCATGAATCCTGATTGTCAAAATAGTTTAGTTTCTTCGAAAGTATACCGAAAATAGTTTATTTTCTTCAAAAGTCGAAGTTGAATTACAATAATATCAAAATTCACACAAATGCGTCCAAAATACGAAACTATAAAATCTACAATATGGCCTGGCGGTCATGTTATTGAAATTATGTATATTTTTGCAAGTTGCAACAAACGCCGGAAATACTGTTTTTAATTAGCTACAAATGCAACCAAAACTATTATTACCCTTTCCTGCGATATTTCACAAGTTATTCTTGTAACTTTCAAACAGAAATTATACACACTAATCTAGCAGGATTAAACTTCAGCTAGCTTTACCAATTTGTGCTAAAATTGTTCAAAACTATAAAGAAAATGCATGATCAATACAGACGAATTATCAACAATAAAAATGCGTAAGATATGGGGTACACAGCCAGAGCTATGCAATATTTTGAACGCCAAACGTAAGCTTTTACTCAATTTTCAAAGCAACGTAACCCATACTATCTTTGCCGTTTTGTAGTGTAATTTTAGCAGTATTTAAGCTACAGTTTGGTTTTATAACTTGTAAAGAACCAGACTTGGTCTAGACTTACGTATTAAATAATTAAAAATTAAATTGCATAAATTACAGCCTATTGTTAAATTCACAAAAATCGTTTGAATGTCAGTATATACCCTTGCAATGTATTTTGTATTAGTTTTAACGTATAATAAAATACAAATTTGAATCGATACTATTTAAAGTTTTCCTACGTCCTTCCGAAAATTAATAAAAGCGTTGAATAAATACAGACGTTAGGCAGTGAAAATCACACACAAAAATGTAAACAAATCAACGCCATTTGCACATCAAAGGCTATCAAAACAATCCCAAAGCATAAATAGACATTGATCTACAATCTAACAGCATTTAAACAAGCTACAAAGCCCATCACCCACAAAGATAACAGCAATATCAAATTTTATCTTGCTAAAACGCTTGCATGCTCGAGGAGCAAGTGTCGAACAGCAACAGCGTTTTAATACACACCATCTGTTATAGAAACTAGGCTAGAAAGCCCTGTTTTCTCAGCATATTTCGCTGCTAAAATATACATGTAAACTTGGAAAACTGAACGAAAGGTGTTTCTATGTATTTGTATGCAAATATAGAAAGAATTAAAAAATGTAACTAAACCAAATTCGCCATAATAGTTCGGTAATTATACCCTCAAACATGGAACAGGTCACTAATTTCTTGGCCAAAATAAAACAAAAACTTACCTAGGTTTGACCCAGCGGTTGATGTTCTTGGCTTTGTTAACAGCCCGTCTGAAAATCTGCACAACCCGTTTATCGCTCGCCATTTTCCGCTGGCAAAGAACAGGAAGAAATGACCCAAGGGTCGAATCAGCAACTACGAACTATTTCGAATTCTTAGCCGTGATATATGCCAATAAAACCCAAGAAATTAGGTGATTAACGCATAAATAATGATTAATGCACAAACGACAATCGTTAAGCATTACATTTTGCCTTAAAGAGCATCATTTGAAGCATTATAACCGAAAATGACATGGACTTATATTAAGTTAAGATTCGAGAAATCTAGAAGATGTTTATATGCATGTCCATATATCGAGGTATTTAGCATACGACGGAAGTAACCCATTTTGGGTATAAAGAGGCTTATTTGAGGGGAGGAGTTTCGTGTTTGGAAATTTTTAATTTGCTCACACAAATTAGACGTACTTTCAATTGTCTTAAAGAAATGAAAATAACTTTTTTAAATAACTTTAAAAATTCAACTGTGTTGAATGTTTTATTATGTAAACATAACTGCAGGGGTGCGGGGAATGAGGAAATCGAAACTATGACGTAATTACCTAGCCTGCAGGCATGAGACCGCCCGCAGGAAACATTACATTAATCCAGCTAAATATATAGAGAGCTCCTGGGTGATGCTGTTTATGCAAATAAGTCACACATACATCATATATGACGTCACATGATAACATCATATGACGCACACAATGTTAATTTTATCAGACAAAAATCTGCATTCTAAAAATATTAAAAAATATCAGTCATATACTCGCGTAAAATACATATATCCCTTTTAATGGAAGCAATATTGTTTTTTCAAGTCTTTTTCTAAAAACTATATAGCTATGACAATATATATCATATATATATTACAGATTTCTTTCTTAAAATAGAGCTTTACAAAAATTAAATAATAATGTTTGTACAAATTATTATGTTGGCGAATGAATAATAAATTAGTGAAGATCACCAATGAAAATCGTATGCATGATTTTACAGAATTTCAGAAATGAAAAATAATTTGTTCAATATAATTCATGTAACAAAATATATATGTCTATAGAATAAAACTTCAAATAATTAATAATAGCTAGGTCAACCTGTAGTTATCAGAGTGGGAAAATTAAGTTAAAGTATCATTATTCCTTAAATTTTTGAATGAATCTGAAACAACACTCTGTAAAACATGGGGGGAGGGGGCGGCCGTCCCCCCTCGCCGGCGTCACTGGCTATTACAATTTACTTTCTACAATCTAAGAGAATAAAATACCAATTTCATTTAAGATAGTTACAACTAGGAAGGCTATGTACAATAGAATAAGATAGACTCCGTACATTTTGGGAATTCGGAATCCTAAAAGGGGGACGATTATGGCTGATGATACCAAACTTATGGCTAAGAATGCCGTCGATATATAGTCTTGATTGCTTGTGTTTAACTAACAAAAAAAATAAGGTTAAATATTACACCTAATATATCAGTTCTAAACTGTTCTCCCTATAGAGGTCCAGTAAGGTTAACGGCTTATTGATCCAGTGTTACTACAGGAGGAAACCTAAACTAAACTAACTTTATTTATACTGGACAGCTCTGTCAGCTCTAAATTGTTCTCCCTAGAAGTCCAGTAAGGACCATCTCTTATTGATCCAGTGTTACTACGGGAGGAAACCTAAACTAAACTAACATTATTTGATACTTCATGGACAGCTCTATCAGATACAAACTGTTCTTCTTAGAGGTCCAATAAGGGTCATTGCTTTTTGATCCAGTATTAACAAGAGGAAGAAACCCAAACTACACTAACTCATACTGGACAGCTCTATCAGATCCAAACTGTTTTCCCTAGAGGTGCACTAAACAGCAAGCTTTTATTGGTCTAGTTTACTGCGGGAGGAAACTGGAGTACTTTGAGAAATTTTGCGGTGTTTGTTCAAACTGGACGTACTCATCTCACATGCGAGTGGGGTAAAAAGTCACAAGTCGACAACATGCAGTAAAAATAAAAGCCTGGTCAGAGAGATGAATGCGCCAACATTCTTAATAAAGACCTAAACCTACCGTTAATGTCCCATCCTTTGTGGACGTCGTTGCGATTGTGCATGAGAGACCCACGCCTAATAATAAATCTGTAAGTTTAATTGTCAAGGTCGAAACGTTGGCAAAGCATGGCGGTTGAAGTTCCACCCGAGTATGCCTTTCAAATAACCGTTACACTTGCAGTACAGCAGATATTGGTCAAGTTCAGAAAATGAAACATCTTTCATCTTTATTTGCCAACAAATACAAGACGACACACGTAAAAATCTCACAACTTGTCAACAAGATATGTGTTCGCAACGGGCTTGAAGCAAGCTTGTCAACAAGTTGTAGCAATGCTGTTATTTTATCAAGTTGCTAAGGCTGTCACTCGCAACTTGTTAACAAATTGTAGAATTGCAGGACGATAACAAGTTGTTGGAACAACTTGCAACAAGTCTGTTGAGTTCAGCAACCTTGTAGTAAGTTGTCAACATGCCGTTGACAACTTGTTAACAAGCTGGGAACAAGCAGTGCGAACACATCCTGTTGATATGTTGTTGGAACAGCATTGCTACAAGTCTGCTGCAGGTTTGTCACAACTTGCGCGTTTTTACGTGTGTACTACGTACGATGTAAAGAATTACTAGCATTCTATAAATTGCAGGTTGACCACCATCTGTCGTACGACAGTGCTTGGTGAAACCTGACGAATTTATGAAAGGATACTAAGTAGAGGTCCACCAAAGCAAGCTGCAATTGCCATCTGAGGATAACCTTGTTTGGCTACGGCGAGGTTGGCTATAAAATCTGCTATACTATTTCCCCAAGCCAGAAGAGTGACGCCCAAAATCTCGTTACTCAATTTAAAGACAACACCAAACACCTAAATAAAAATGCGCCTAATTGCTGTTATAGTTGACTGTAGTTTGCCTTTGCTGTCGTTGTTGCTGCTGTTGTTGTTGCTGTTGCTGTTGTTGTTGTCGCTGCTGCTGTTGTTGTTGTTGCTGTTGCTGTTGCTGTTGCTGTTGTTGTTGTTGTTGTTGTTGTTGTTGTCGCTGATGCTGTTGTTGCTGTTGTTGCTGCTGCTGTTGTTGCTGCTGTTGTTGTTGCTGTTGTTGTTGTCGCTGCTGCTGCTGTTGTTGTTGTTGTTGTTGTTGCTGCTGTTGTTGTTGCTGCTGCTGTTGTTACTGTTATTGTTGCTGTTGTTGTTGTTGTTGTTACTGCTGTTGTTGCTGTTGTTGTTGTTGCTGTTCTTGTTGCTGCTGTTGTTGTTGTTGCTGTTGTTGCTGTTCTTGTTGCCTATGTTATTGTTGTTGCTGACAGAAAACAGACTCACCCTCAACAAGTTAACGATTTCATTCGCAGTTGAATAAATCCAAATTACAGATGTAATGAAGCCCATGAACGAAAACAACTTCATAAGAAAAAATAATAATTACAGAATACTCTCTGACAAAGTAACACATACTTTCTATGGAAAGTACCTTATGATATCTAGGTGGTTCATCTCGTGATGACGTCATTGCTACGGCAACGGCCAGTATCACGCCAACAATAGCCATGAGAGCAGCCAGAGGAAACTTTCCTGCCAACATAATTAACCCAGCTAAAATTGATAAAATGTAAATTCAATTAGGTCTTAGAGGTTTTGAACAATTCTTAAAGTAGTCTGGTTATAATCTTACTACATTTCACATGCAGCTGTCCGACTATAAACAGCGTGTAACTTTGTTCTAAACGCTCATTCACACGAGACCTTGATTTTCTCGGCTTAGCCAACGTTGATTTTCAAATTTACTGCGCCAATGAACTCGTAAGATGCATGGGTCGTTTTTTAAGCCATTTAAAACAGTTATAAGATTCTCGGCTGTCTCCTCGTGTTTTATATGTGATAAAGATGGGCTGCTCATATTTTAACTAGTACTTAAGCTCGAGTTACACGAGCAACACAATTGCTGCAACTTGCAACAAAATCTGATTTCAACGCATGTTAAGTAGAAATGTCGACACATGTTGCCTCGTGATTTGTAATTTATGTGTAAACATTTTCAATTAACATGCGTTGAAATAAGATTTTGTTGCAAGTTACAGCAATTTTGTTGCTCGTGTAAGTCTTTAGTCTAGGTTTAAAAAAGTTACCTTTGGTTGCAAACACGCAGAATATAGGAGCAAACAAACATTGTAAAATCTGTAAACGTTTACTCCAATTGTGCTTTTCCTCATCCAGTCCGACGACAGGGATTGTTAAATTTAAACACAAGTGAATTGGAATCTGAAACAAACCAGAAGTAAACTTTAAGGAGTGGCTTGGATTGGCAAACAACTCTTGTAATTGTGTTGGTGAACAGTGGTTGGTTTAAATTCGTGCAATATACAATTGTCTGATTAGAATTTCGCCTCAGTCGCATGCGAGAAGAACGCTTTCAGTTTGACTGTGCCAATTAAACATCACAGATTTTCTCCCTGTAGTAACACTGGACCAATAAGAGATGATCCTCACTGGACCTTTACAGAGAACAGTTTAGAGCTGACAGAACTAACCAGTATAAATAAAGTTAGTTTAATTTAGATTTCCTCCTGTAGTAACACTGGACCAATAAGAGATGATCATTACTGGACCTCTAAGGAGAACAGTTTAGAGCTGACAGTATAAATAAAGTTAGTTTAGTTTAGGTTTCCTCGTGTAGTAACACTGGATCAATAAGAGTTGACCCTTACTGGACCCCTAGGGAGAACAGTTTAGAACTGATAGAACTATCCAGTATAAATAAAGTTAGTTTAGTTTCGATTTCCTCCTGCAGTAACGCTGGATCAATAAGACATGACCCTTACTGGACCTCTAGAACAGTTTAGGTAATTCAAGGTAGGGAACACAACTCACTTTTATTACAGTATAAAATTTTCTCGGTAGACCAGAATCCACAAAGTCAGCGTTGGAAAATGACAATAATTCTTGAACAAAATTTTGATCCCTGCTGCTTCTTTGTGCTGTGATTGGGTTGATTATTAATGGCGTTGTCTCCTCTGGAACAAAAAATCATTCTCAACAAAACGGGGGGATCGGGTGACAGGTAAATTTAGCTTGTTTCCCCTCACCACTAAGGTAAACCTGGAATACCTGAGAAAACCCTCGATGAATGTTAGAAAATAGAAATTACCAACTGCAACTCCACTTACGCGGATTTTCAAGAACACATAGTCTTTAGTTGATCGAATGACATTCAAAAGATTTGTTTACTTCTGAAGAGCGAGTTCACTTATTCGCATTCGTCAGAAACACAAAATCGTCGACAAAATCGCTAGTGTGACCCAAGCCTAAAGCCGCATTGAGCCCTGATGCGCCCCATTTTATTATTTTGCTCTGTCCAACGCCAGACGATTTCTTTCTTCATGGGGATCATGGGGGGTTATCCTTACTTTACCGACCATGCAAGGCCTTATAAATCAAGCTGATAAATCTGTACCTGCATTTCTTGCCGTGTTACGGTGTCCGTTGGAATTCGTATCGGTTATAATGGGAATAGATTTTTCGAGATCTTCTTGGTTTATAGTCTGTGGACCATTGCAAATCACGTCTTGATTATAACTGGTGTCGAAGTCAGCTAAAAACAAATGACAGTAAATGTCAAACGTGATGGCCCTAGTGTAGGTGAATTGCTGTTAGTATTCTAGAGCTGGCTTGTTTCACTAATCAATGCACATTTCCAGAAAGTACTTTAATAGCCTCGGAACTGTCTTTGCCAGTGTAGATAGTGCCAATCAAATGAACAAGCTTTCGTTGGTCCCTACCAACTACCTGAAAATATATAAGCAGAATCTCGACGTTTCGAGCGAAGGCCCCTCGTCTGGAGTTACTGAGCAAATGAGTACTGGAGTTACGAAGGGTCTTCGCGCGAAACGTCGAAATTCTCCTTATATATGTTCAGATAGTTGCATCCCTATCAACGAAAGCTTGTTCCTTTAACTGCCTTAGCTATAGAGCCTCTACATTGTTACCGATGACTTAATTATATCAAGGTCTTTTGAACTCAATCAGGTACTTCATACACAAACCACGGTTATAAACAAATTAAATAAAAATTAAAAAATTGTATCACATAAATCACGAGATGTACGAAGTTTTTCTTACCCTGAATATTTGTGCGTTGTCGTAATCTTCGCTTGTATCTCTGGTAAACAACGCGACCGATGATGACAACAAGGACATAAAGTATGTAGAGAATTATGAAACCTAAAAAATAGAAACAAGAATGTCGTCCTTATGTGTGGACACGGCATGTTTCGTCCACCTCTAGGATTCCAATTCCTGTCATACGTAGTTGTCTGATTATAATTTCAACAACGACGACGACGACGACGACGACGACGACGACGACAACAACATATATACCTATAGCTTGAAGTAAATCAATTTTCTTCCTGTAAACAATAATCACTGTCCATGCCAAAGCTCCAAGATAGAAGACAACATCTCTGAGATATGGTCTTTGGTTCAGATCATACGAGACAGATAGAGACACCGCTCCTACCACCACTGTCGTTACAAACATACCAGCACCTTGGAAATTGAGACATTAACAAGTTATCATCTGTATAATCATCACTACCATCATCTTCGTTACTACACCACCATCATCACGTTTACGATATTATCAACATCATGATCACCATCTTTAGCATCACCACTATCCCCACCATCACCATCATCACCACCATCATCACCATCATCATAATCGTAACCACCATTATCATAATCATCACCACTATCATCATAATCATCACCACTATCATAATCACCACCACCACCACCATCATCATCACCATCACCATCACCACTATCATCATAATCATCACCACTATCATAATCATCATAATCATCATAATCATCATCATCACCACTGTCATAATCATCCCCATCATCATCACCATCAATACTCACCAATAAGAGCACTAAGTGCCAAATTTCCAGTGCTGTGACTGTCTACAAAACCTGCCACTGCACTGAAAATATCTGGAGCGCCATTACCATAAGCAAGAAATGTAACACCCTGAAGTTTTGGTATAAGGATAAAACAAACAGAACTAGATTTGAAAGAAAATGTACAGAAAAGTTGCTCTTTTCCTAACTATATATAAGTTCAGCAACAAGCTGTAATTTGAAATCATGTAAAAGGATACAGCAACATTCGGACTGAGATTCAAAGCATCTGAAATCACTGTCAGTGCTGGACAAAAACTACAACAACAAAGAAAGTAAAGTTTATTATGAATCTACTGGAGTGATTGTTTGTATTGAGAAACAACACTTCGTGTATGCATGAAATGGCAGTTGGACAACCAAATACATGACCAGTCCTAGCAACTTAGTAAAGATGCAAATGCCCCCTACGTTATATTTCACTCTAATTCTTTGTTTGCAATCATGTGACTTTTCATCCAAATGACGGGCAATCAAACAACTTGTGGACGATTTTCTCCTATCAGAATGATTGTAGCAAGAACAACTGAACGGTAATTCATCTTTTGAGTCTTAAACTGTCTCTAAACTCGATCAATACATTGAAACAGACGGTTTTTGTTATACGTGCCCGTCAACTGAAATCTCAAAATTACGTCATTGCAAACAAAGAAGAGTGGATGAGAGAGGTATGAATCAGTTGTTCTTACTAATCATCAGCAGTTATACCAACAAGAATAAAGAGAAATATCAACCAGAAAATCTAAAAATGAAAAAAACTCGTTTTGTCAACAGGATCTAAACCTCTAGAATGGCAAAAAATGAATTAAACAGGCAATTTTTTCACAGTCACTTTCAAAAATTATAGAACCAACTATTTGGTTGGGCAGGAAGGGAAAAGGGGTCAAACAATGGCTGAATTAGCATCAACAAAATGTGCCCTCTAACCTGCCCCTGGAGTCCCCAGCAGTCTGAGAAAACTTTTTCTGCTTCTTTTGTTCCTCAGGCAGCAGAAAATCACACTTATCACGAGGAGTGTTTTAGGGAATGTTTTAGGAATGTTTTAGGTTGTATTACTAGTTTTGGGTGTTTGTATAGTGTCTACTAACCATCAAGACAAACGCCAAAGGTTGTGTACTTGATAAAGTGCAGTATGGAAATTGAATGTATTGAATAAATCCATCTTTAGACTGACAGTCTTCAGTCGTTTTGACAAACTCACAGCGCCGGTGAGATGAATTCACTTTGTGAAGATTAACACACTACAGAGAAAAGGATTATTGTGTTTGAATCATATATATTTCAAGAACAGGAATTCCATTTCATTCGTTTCCCCTTGATAAACCAAAATCATTGGGCATTATATAGAGTAAAATCATCAGACAGTATATATTAGACTGTATACACAGAGAAAAATCATCTGGCATTAGGTAAAATAACATGGATTAACCAGGGCATCAATGGATACACAGGGCATCAATGGATACTCATGGATGAACCAGGGCCTCTATGGATTACCCAGGGCCTCAATGGATTAACCTGGGCATCAAGGGTACCTCGTTTTTCCTCATTCAAGTTCAATGCAGCCTTGATTAATAAAGGATTTTCAGTGGTTTTTCCTCATTCCATTGCGGGTAATATGCAATTATATTCTTTGTCGAGAGAGCGCTTCATGTTTCAATGACGTTCTTACGTTAAGTTGAATCTAATTGCATGTAAGCTCAGTAAGGGCCACTTTGGAAGCACCGAAGCACTACACTGGCCGATATCGTAACTCTAAACTCATAGGGATTAATGTCATGTAATAATAAGCTACTGTATTAAGCATTAATTTAAACAGTACATAAACACGACATTCCTAAGCAGGCTATAAATGTGCAATATATGTCAAAGCAAAGATCGTATATATAACTAATATAAGTTTATACCTCATAATATTACCAGGCATTTATATAGGAATACAAAGCTTACGGCAAATTCAAAACAATGTCAATGAAAAATTTGCATCTTATAAACGAGATTTATACAGTGTCGATATAAATGACCGCGCTGAAGTTCTACATTACAATAAAATATATCCGGTAACATCCCCCAGAACAGTAGTACTGTTAATAATCATCGATTATCAGATAATGTGAGAAAGCCAAGGGTTTCACAATTCTCAGCAATATATTTATAAACGTACCCTTATACTGTCTGCTTTATCTTGTAAAAGTTGTCGGCTGAAATGTCCATTCTCTTCAGGTAAATGCTGCTCATTTCCACGTCGTATAAATGTCTTAAATTGACATAAACATAGCAACAATAATAGTCCTGGGATAAGCCATAAAAATCTCCAAACACGACTCGTAGTTCCGCCTGATTTGTACTCGCTTATACATCTTGTAGTTGCCATGTGAAATTTGCTGCAATTGTAGAACGTAAATAAACTCGATTGCTGTATCAATGCAGGACACAAATGATTGGAGATTATTATTGGCGCTATTTACTTTTAAATGAAATATGAAACTTTATAATTATAGATGCTGTATCGGCGCTTAGTCATGATAATCACCAGGACCGAAATCGAAAATCATGCCGGTCTAAACTATTATTAAAGCATCCGATCAAATTATGCAAATCAAATGTTTGTTGCATAGCCCAAGCTATATCTATTTTAAGAAACTGTCCGGGTTTTTGTTATGTATAATTTTTAAACCTTTGAAATTTTACGCATGATTTGGTCACAAATTGTTGACATTGTAAATATTTTGATATTTTGCGGAACAAGTGACGTAATGTTTCTTATTAAAAAAGTACGCAATTATTACGGTCTATACTTAGACTTGGCCAGGAACAGTTGGGAAAAATGCAACTAGGGACCTTTAGCTAGCAGGACGGCGACAACAGCAAACCAAAGATTTTCACGTTTTGTATACAACGTCTGCCTTTCAAGCCGCGAGAAGTCGTCCTCGGCAAATTGGCTTAGTAGAAGTCTTCTCAACTATAAACCTCCGGCTTAACCTTCTTAAACTGCAATAAATTCATACAACCACGGTCCACACCTTTTAGTGAAGATGAAATTCCAGGACTTTTCCAGGACTTTCAAGGACCTTTTTCAGTATATTCAAGGACCTGGCAACTGGAAAAATCTTTGAAAATCAGCTTCGCAACCGACAACTTTTGGACAATTGTTATACATAATTTTAATTGAAATTGGAGAAAATAAACATTTGGGCAATAATCCTTGAGCTCGTGATAATTCTTCAATTATTTCCAGCCTATACTGAAAAAAATTCCAGGACTTTCAAGGACCTTATAATTTTCCAAGAACTTTCCAGGCCTGGATTTTTTTTAACAAATTCAAGGACTTTCCAGGATTTTCAAGGACCGTGGGGACTCTCTACAACGGATAATATACAAGACATGTTGATCTTAAAGTTTAATATACTTAAGTATTTGAACGAGTTTGTTTTGGCCGTGGTCGTCGCATTTCCGTCGTCTATTTGCTAAAGGTCCCTACTATAAGCCTAGCTCTGGCATGAGTGTTTAATTAAAAATTCAATTTTTAATAGAAGAAAAAAATGAAACCTTTCACAGAATTTACCTAAATTTTTTCGACACTGAATGCAGCGATTTCGTTATCAGATTTGAAAAACACTGACTTGCGATTACAACGTCTAAAAGATAGAAAATCAATGGATTATTAACATGTCAAAAATAATTAATTACGGTTTAGCTAATGATGCAGTTAATATCAAAATATATTGTGTGAAATATGAATAAACATGCTCTGTGATTAACCATGAATATCCGAGGAATCAACGACATACGCCTTATCACAAGATTTTTCTCAAGTTGAAATCTCGAGATGTCATTTATAACGATCAGATTTGGAGGTAAACTTTTTGAATGTTATTCAAGTTTTATTTAGTAGGTTTCACTTCCTTATCTATCATTTGAGATGGTAAAGTGCTGTTCAATGTTCAAATTTGATATCATGCACTTACGAGGAACATTTGAAAAAGGCAAATTCAGGACCCGAGAACATTAAACACCTTTTCTTGGTCTGAAAGAATATTTATTGTATTCTCCCTCAGTTGACAAACCTGGCTATGACTCCACTTAGCAATATAGAAAACGGAAATAAGTCCTATAGCTCAATGTGCCACTGCATAAGACACCTGACTTTATGTTACTCTCGATAGAAGCCGGTAAAGAATAAGGACTTATTCTTTTAAACTTCGGTTATTCTGTGTAAAGAATTTTTACACAAAATATTTTTCTTATATTTATATACGATGTTTTCGCCGTCGACAAATTGTGAAATATTCTCCTTCACTGAGACACTGACAGAATTTTCAAGGAAGGCCATTAGCTATGCATGACGCTCATTAGAGTGTCATTAAATGAATTGTCAAGGAGATTGATCGTACCGACGTACCTCTATATACTGCTTGCAAGTTTCCAAATGTCTTACAAGCCTAAAGGCCCGTTTAACACTTGCAATCCTTGCGGCAACTTCTAGTGCGAATTTCTTCGCCTGATGTATGTGAACGAGTAGATGAGTTATGAATGCTGTGAGTATATACACCTTCATCTGAACATTCATTACTCATCCACTCGTTCACATCCATCAGGCGAAGAAAATCGCACCTAGAAATCGGCAGCAAGGAAGGAGGCCCGTAGACGTAGTCCTCATTCAAGATCCCGTTAATCTTAGGCCCTGTTCGGAACCCTACCTAAATTCGTCCGGTCTCGCCTTGCTTTCACGTACAGGACGCGCGAAACTGGACGAATTCCAGCACAGGTAACCGTACGAATTCGAGACGAAATAAAAGTAGGTCTCGTTACGTCCCGGAATGGCTCCTAAATCAGAGAGCGCCATGTGAACAGCGGAACCGGTCTTTTTTCAACACCATTTTGCACGGTCGAGGATCGGGAAGAATACTAACTCAATATATTAAACTGTCGTGAATTGAAGCACTTCAGCCGGTTCCGTGTGAACACTTTTCGTCTCGTAATTAATTCCAACGTGTAGAAGTATACGTTCCTAATTCACCCAGCCACATGTGAACGTAGACTCTGCAGTATTGACCTTATGTTGTATACACTTCCGTGAGTGTACATGTTCTTAAATGTGGGCTAACTTGAAGTGGTCTGTTGTTGTACAAAACTCACTGTTTAGTCAAGCACGTTGTTGTACACGGAACAGTTTACTGTTGTATTTGATGTACTACACTGATATGCACGATCTAGTCATCGGCTATGCTCTTCAATATATCTCTGATATTTTCAGATGACAATCACGCGCTCTTCAATCCAAATTGTTTGGTGATCAATCTCTTGGACAATATCAGAAAGAGATGCAAATGTGAGAAAGAGGGTATGGACAATTGGACACTAGCAAGTGAATCAAATAAATCGAACAGGATATGTCATACTTCAATATTCCAGAAGGGTTGAATCAAATAAATTGAACAGGATATCTCGAAATTCAATAACTCACAAGAGTTGAATCAAATAAATGAACAAGATAATTATGTCGTACTTCACTCAGAAGAGTTTAGTCAAATAAATGAACAGGAGATCTCACACTTCAATAACACAGAAGAGTTTAGTCAATAGTATTGTCTACAACAACAGTCTAGAACTGATAGAGCTATCCAGTAGAAATAAATAAAGTTGGTTTAGTGTAGGTTTCTTCCTGTATACCAGAACAGTTTGACGCGTACAAATGGTAAATATACAAGTTATACTCACCAGTAATATTGTTTCAGCTCCAATCGACTTGAGCGATGAAGATGGAAGTGTTCAAAAGCTTTCTGAAAAACAAGATCAAAATGCCAGCACAATCTTGAAGCAACGCGGGGAATACATTTTATTACGCGTAGAGAGTACGTACTATGTAATCAGTCGTTAAATCTAGGGTAAACCATGAACAGGAACTTAGTTTTCAAGAGCCATGATTCATAAATGGACGAACCAGGAAACAGCTAGTTCCTTGCCATGATTGCCATAGATGGACGAACCAGGAAAAAGTATTGTTGAGATATGCTTTCAGCAAATTCACATTTGAAAACCAAAATACGTTTCTAAATTGTTGGCTCGCGTCTTTTACTTCCTTAGTTTTGCTCCTCAAGAGTGTTTCCTGGGTTACTCCAAGGGTTAGGCTCTCGAGAAACAAGAGTTTCCATCAGAGTTTTCTCAACTCTCGTGCACCGGTCAAACGAGAACAAGAGTTGATGACAGTTGACTGGAACTATACTATTTACCGCGCGCGTAGCGGAGACTCTTATCAACTTTTGAACCTGTTCAAAGTTGACGAGAGTTAGGTCAAACGCGTTGAGTTGAAACTCTCATCAACCCTCGTCATCGTTTGACCCAGGCTTTACTAGGCAAATCTACAACTATAAACATAGATGGTTGATTTAGATTTCAAGTTAAAGTCTAAACAGTAGGACCAGTAGATACCATGCATTACAATTAATACCGCGTAATTATTTTTTCAGAGTTTTCAGAGAAACCGAACGTATATTTACCTCTTTTAAATGGCTTGGAATATAGCAATCCTGCACTTCTTGGTAAGATACTTTTTTCATGGCCATCATAATCACCAATTAATTGCCATGAGAAAACTAGCATCACCACTATCATAGTCATGACCACCATCACCTTCATACAATCACGACCACCACCATCGTCACTACCATCGTCATCAATACCATTACCACCACTATCATCATCACCACCACCATCACTACCACCAATACCATCATCACCACTACCATCAATACCATTGTCATGACCACCATCACTATTCCATCATCACCACCACCATCACCATCACCACCATCAATACCATCATCACCACTACCATTGTCATGACCACCCACCATCACTATTCCATCATCACCACCACCACCATCACCAATACCATCATCACCACTACCATCAATACCATTGTCATGACCACCCACCATCACTATTCCATCATCATTATCACCATCACCACTACCATCAATACCATTGTCATGACCACCATCACTATTCCATCAACACCACCACCACCATCACCAATACCATCATCACCACTACCATCAATACCATTGTCATGACCACCATCACTATTCCATCAACACCACCACCACCATCACCAATACCATCATCACCACTACCATCAATACCATTGTCATGACTACCCACCATCACTATTCCATCATCACCATCACCACTACCATCAATACCATCATCACCACTACCATTGTTATGACCACCATCCTTATTCCATCATCATTATCACCATCATCATCATTATCACCATCACCATCACCACCACCATCATTAACCTTATCTCACCCCATTCTTAGCCAAACTCCAAAACACTTCGAAACCAGAAGAGGAACACCAAAAACAAACCATCAGAAAGAAATCGCCATGGGACCGAGCAAACGTGAGGAAAGTGACAAGCCGAGCGAGAGAGCAATCCAATGTCAGTCCTGCCAAGACAGATGGTGGGAGAGAAAACACACCAAAATCTGATGACAAGACGCTTGGTGGTAACAGTGATAGAAGGACAGCAAAACAACGAAAACCTGGCTTGAAAACTATATAGACTTTGTAGAGTGTGAAGACTGAATAGAATGTTCCCATAATTTCGAAGAATGATTAAAATTTAATGTATGTAACAAACATTTTATACTGGATAGCTTTATCAGTTCTCTCTAGAGGTCCAGTTAGAGTCCTCTCTTATTGATCCAGTGTTAATACAGGAGGAAACCTAAACTAAACTAATTTTATTTATACTGGATAGCTATATCAGTTCTAAACTGTTCTCTCTAGAGGTCCAGTAAGGGTTATCTCTTATTGATCCAGTGTTAATACAGGAGGAAACCTAAACTTAACTTACTTATTCATACCGAATAGCTTCTATCAGTTCTAAACTGTTCTCCCTAGAGGTCCAGTAAGAGTAATCTCCCATTGATCCAGTGTAACTACAGGAGGAAACCTAAACTAACTTTATACTGCATGTATACTGTATAGCTCCATCAGTCATAGTAGTTACGCCACTGATGTATAGCTCCATCAGTTCTAAACTGTTTTCTCTAGATTCAGTGTCACTTCAGTAAGAAAGCTAAGCTAACTTTATTTCTACTGAACAGCTATGTCAGTTCTAAACTGTTTTCCTGGGAAATCCAGGAAGGGTAGTCCCTAATAACCTGAACTGCTGAAGGAACTTGTTTGGTAGATATAGTTGTAAACGAGTACCAGTTTCTACTGAGTGTACCATACAATAAATTGACATCTTCCACTGTTCCCTGTTAGGGTCTGATTTATTCTGAACTTTAATCGCAAATTAACGACAAATTGTTAGCATTATTCGACCACACGGATGCACCACAGCCGCCTATATTTACAAAGGTATATTACGTATTTTTACAAAATGACATGACAGCGAGACAAACACATTGTAAAATTGAACCTCAACAGTTTTAATGTACAACAGAATATAGTCCACGTTCAATGCTATGGTCGAATCTACGTTACATACCAGCGATGATAACACATATTAAACTTGGACATATATACCATAAATATTTCAGCAGTAAATTTTACTTTTAGACAGTTTTTTAGTACACATAATATAAAACAAACATATATAACATTCAGCAATACAATGTATGGGACATGATTTCAACGAACGAAGGTAGTGATTTTATAGCGATTATTGGACAACACAATTAGGTAAAATTTATCAGTAACATGTCGAGTTTACTGGATTGCACGAATATGAAACAACACGAATACAATACGAACAGGTAATGTATAGTACGGACAAGAGAAAGGCAGCACGAACTGGACAGGTTGTCATTCAAGAATAATTCAAGTAAATCAAGAATAAAAATGATATTGCGAACAACATATTTACATCACAGATAAATATAAGTTCAGCACGAACGATTTTAAGATGAACGAGAGGTACTAACAGTACGGACATTCGGACAATACAAAACGAAGAACGAACAATGCTAAAACAAAACAAAGCATACTGTAACACGATGCAAGCACAGTTGGAACACGATAAGAACGATAACGTAACGACATGAATCGAATGTAAAAAGCACGACACGCACATTAAAAGACAAATACACCTTGGCATAAAACCCTGCCAAGCCAAGAAAGAACACTGATATTACCGTGCAGTATCCATGTCTTCTGCATTATCAAACAATATAACACGAGGAAAATATTTATCAAAGTTAACACGGGGGGTACTGAACAAAGACATAACACGAGGGATATACACACAACACAACATCAACACACTAAGAGAAGTGGTGCATTCTGGGACTTAAACACAAGTATGTCGCTCAAGTTCTTCAACTGACAAAACTTTGGCTCCACGACCGGGTGCTTGAGACTGGGACTGATTGAGGACAGCATCACTAAACCATTTTGATAGGCTGTCGTTGTCTTTGTTTGCTTCTAAATGAAAAACAAAATTCTTACGTTTCTGATAGAGAACATGCGAGTAAACAACAAATAAACAAGTAAACAAGTAAACAAATAAACAAACAAATAATTGAAATAAACCAACAAGTAAACAAAAACACAAATAAACAAATATCCCACCTGAATGATGTACAACATGATGCTGACGTTGCAATGCAGGGGGTAGATTAGGACGTTGTGGGGTATGTGTGAACATACGTGGATTCATTTGTGGCATCATCCCACGAAATCCCCCAGTTGCCCTCTGTTGATTCAACATCATAGCAGCGGCAGCAGCCTGAGCCGGCGATAACACTGGTGGTGGGCGGTTGACGGCTGCGTTTGCCGCGGCAACAGCGGCTGCTCGCGCCATCTGGAATTGTTGATTACGTAATGCTAACGCTAAGGCCGTCGGGTGAACATTCATTGCACGGGCCGCGTTCATATTGAAGGGAGTGGGGAGCATTCCTGGTCTTGGAATCATATTCGGAGTGACCGGACGATACGGGATTTGACCCTGGGGATAACGTCGCATATTGTTATTCTGCCGCAGGTCAAACGGTTTTCTACCACCGCGGGCTCGTCCACGCCCACTGTCATCCATACCAGCGGTCCTTGACAACGGACGTATACCAAAGTCACTTGTGGGATTAGAACTCGCGCTGGCCACTAATGGAGAATGGGGTAGAGGTAGACTGTGTGGAGTTAGTAAGGGTTTTGGAAGGTTCCCAGAGGATGTTTTCGGTGTGTTTTGGACCATAGGGGATTGAGGAAGGGGGAGACTATGTGGGGTCATACTAGGTGAGCTAGGTAAAGGAACTCGGTGGGGGGTTAATAATTCCGGTCGGGATAAAGTCTCACTTGTGGTCTTGGGTGAAGTGAATTCTCTAGGAGACATGAGGGTAGGAGAGGCCTGGCACGAGTCACGTGGTTTGGCTGATGACGTACGTAGATCACGATGCGAAGTCATCTCAGCTTGATGAATGTTGTGTTTGTGAAGTGTAGAGTCTGATTCTTTCTTTATACCATCGCTTGATTTCTTTCAAGATGAAATAAGGTCTGAGTTAAACGTGGAAACAATGCTATCCTAAACCGTATTATCCAGATTTTTTCCAGTCGAACCAAAACATGTTTATACCCGCAAACAACTCTATTGTTATATTGCGCTATTGTCGTGATTCAGACTTTTACAATACCACTAACAAATCGAAAACAACCTATGTTGGTTATTGTCATGCGACAGATTCTGGCAGTAAAGCCAAGGGCCTGTTAACAATATAGAGCCTACCTGGTCATGTTTGTCGCAGTGAAATTTGCGTAGAACAGATGTCGGCACAAACGCTTGTGAGATGACTGGACGTGGTTTTGCTCCAGAACTGTTCTGTGTGTTCCCATCAACATCATTTGCTTCAGACATTTGTGGATATCTAAATAAAAACATATAGTAGATTACACATACAGTAGAAGCCAAATAAACTAACTTTTAAGGATCATCTCTTATTGATCCAGTGTTACTACAGGAGGAAACCTACGCTAAACTAACTTTATTTCTACTGGGTAGCTCTATCAGTTCTAAACTGTTCTCCCTAGAGGTCCAGTAAAGATGATCTCTTATTGATCCAGTGTTACTACAGGAGGAAACCTGAACTAAACTATCTTTATTCCTATGCTGGAGACCAACCATGGTGACGTCGCTAGGATTTCAAGCGAAGGGGCATCAGACGAGAGCGGACAAGTCATTTACCTAGATTGGAATGGTTTCTTTTTGGGAGGCATTCGTTTATCAATGTTTGCTACGGTTCCAGTGAACTCAAAGAGATCAGGTGCTGTGTTGTCCATATTAAATGCTATGGGAGGTGCGCCGTATATTTCCTCCGGGGTAAGAGGTCTGGCACGAGCCACAGGGGAGAGAATGTTTGCAACTGGTGACGCTAAAGAATGGAAAATTTCTGGTTAGTTTAAGTGGTAGTAAGACAATGTTAACTGGTGGTATCGTGATCACCACGCTTGCCTTTGAAGCTTGGAGACACGGGTTCAATTCTTGGTCGGACCCCTACTCAAGGTTTTAAAACTAATTGAAAAGGAAGTGCTACCTTTACATTGATAGGGAACTTAATAAGCATGTAGGATGGCAACACGACGACGTCGGCCAAAACAAATTCCTTCAAATAAATGATAGCAAAGAAAACTTGTCGTATATTATAATTCGTATGAATTTAATATACTATAAGAAGCTGAAAACATTGGCTTTATGTTTGGGAAGAGTTCTACTGACCGAATTTTAAGTTGCACTTGTTACGGCTTGAAATGTAGGCGTTGTATAAAAGACGTGAAAATCTGTGATTTGCCGTTGTAAACAGAGCGACGACGACGTCTGAAACTCCCCTGGGACCTTATTATTTCTTTCTTTTCATTGACTCATTGTATTGGTTGCCGTCGCCGTCGTGTTGCCGTCCAACATGCTTTTAAGCTCCCTGATATCAGTAAAGGACGTTAAAATCGTAGGCATCTCGGATCCCCTATTCAACAATAGCCTGTTGGGAAATCCGCTCACCAATCATTAGATGTCAACAAAGCTAGTAAGTGAACGTACCTGCACGCAAGGCGTCGTAGGACGATATCAAGCGAGGGTCATTTTGCACGTGGTTCACAAATGCCACGGGAGACTGGGTACGCCTGATGACCTCTTGAAGTAACTGGAGTGGCGAGGGTGAGCGACTACGACTTCCAGGAGTGGATCTGTTTTTGTCTTTGGAGGAGGGAGGTCTAGGGAGGAGGTGAGGAGGTATATCTGGGATCTGGAACAAAGAAGAGAAGTCTAAGAGCATGTTGATGGTAAAATGATTAGCGCATGGGTTATGCATTTTATAATTGATGAAGCTATCCAGTTTAGATAAAGTCTCTACTTACTGTCGGCGTTGGTTTCGCTGGAAGATTTCCAGAAGCCTTCATGGTCTGGACCAGTTTAAGAAACACCTGAGATCCCTCTTTCTCTTCTGTTCCATGTTCCTTCTCATCCCCTGCATCATTAGATATCCCATCCTTGCCTTCAAGATCCTCTAACGTCACTGCACCTTTAAATGAGAAATGTAGGAAACAGTTAATATCTGTGTCGACCTTTGC